AAACCACATGATCCTATCAATAGATGCAGAAAAAGCATTTGATAAAATGCAGCACCCATTTATGATAAAAACTCTCAGCAAAGTGGGAATAGAAGGAACGTACCTAAATGTAATAAAGGACATATGTGACAAAGCCACTACCAGCAGCATACTCAATGGGCAAAACCTACAAGTGTTCCCGTAAAATCAGGAAGGAAACAGAGACGCCTGCTTTCAACTCTGTTATTTAACATAGTACTGGAAGTCATAGCAATCAGACAAGAAGGAGAAAAAAGAGGCATCCAAATTGGAAGGAAGAAGTAAAACTGCTTTTATTTGCAGATGATGTGCTACTGTACATATAGGACACTGAAGATCCCACCAAGAAACTACTAAAACTGATAAATGAATTCAGCAAAGTAGAAAGATATAAAAATTAATATCCAGAAATTGCTTCATTTTTATATGCCAATAATGAACGAGCAGTACTGACTTTGCTGTCTTCAATCTAGAAGCTATAAAATGGTTTTTCCCCTCTCCCTAGTGTCAGCTCCCCTTAGAACCTGCCTGCTTCTGTTCACTGTGTAATGCCTTCAGGTCACCTGTTTTGTATTTTGTCCAGTTTAATGCTGCTCTCAGCAGGAGGCCATTTGGGGCGAAGCTGATCTGATTCTACTAGAAATAGAACCCTTCTTCGTGTTGTGATAAAGCACACCTTCTAGTATCTAAGAAGTCTACCTGAGAAATATGTTTTTTGACTGCTCATCTGTCTGAAAATGCCTTCAGAATAATGTTCCCTTAGAATTTTTTAGACATATACCATCATCTTCAAGTTTCCATTATTGCTGTTGCAAAGTAAATTGCTGTGGATGATTCTTGACCTTTTATGTTTGACCTGGATTTTCCTCTTGAAGATTTTAGGATATTCTTTCTTTATTATTAATTTCCTGAGATTTTATGATAATGTGCCTTGGAATGGAGCTTGCATCTCCACTCTTTGTGCTAGGAGTTCAGTGGACTCTTTCAACATAGAAAATCATGTCCTTCAATTTTAGGAAACTTAATTTTTCTTTCACTTTTTTCTTCCTTATTTCTCCATAGTTTTTACAACTCCTTCTGGTTGGATATTGAACCATCTGGACTGATCTTCTGATTCTTTTATTTTTTTCTTCTACTGTCCATCTTTTTGTCTTTTTGCTCCAATATCTGAAAGATTACTTCAACTTTTTCTTCCAGTTCCTTTCCTGAATTATTTTTATCTAGCAGTCATTTTTAGAGATCTTCCTTATTCACTGATTGTTATATTGATTTACAGCATCCTTCTTTGTTTAGTGGATGTAATATCCTCCTTTCTCTAGGCATATTAGAGTAATTTTCCCCTCCTAGTCTCTATTTTTTATTTGCTTCCTTTAAGATCCTTTCTTCTGTTTTTTTTTAAATTTTATGTTTATCTTTATCTTTTGCCCTAGAGGCCTTACTTAAATGTCTAGAAATACTTGGTTGTTGACTCACACTTAAGAATGAGGCATTAAAAAGCTTATTACAAGTTCTGTGTACAATATAGGGTTTTATTCATTGGTGAGCATCATTTAGGAGTAATAGGTGCTAGTCAGGTTTACATTGAAGAACCCCCCAATGTCAGTATCAGCAAGTTCTTCTTTGTCTATTCAGTTTTCTCAAATCTTTCTACTTCTTGGGATGGTTGCTTGGCTGGTAGGGATCTGGATGCTGAAGTTAGTTTCACTGTTTAATATATGTTTCCAATATAATATCTCTCGCCCTTTCTTCATGGTTAAACTGTCCCAGATGGTGAGAATGGAGGAGGTACAGGAATCTGGCTGTCCAGTCAAAGGTAGGGAATTGAAGGAACTGCCTTTGTCTTACTTTCAGAGTTCCTAGCTTGAGCCATTACCTGTATCTTTAAGTTCATCTAGTAGCACCAAATTTTTAGAGGGTTTTCTGGTGAGAACTGCTTTGTTTCGTCCTGACTCAGCATCCCTCCTTCCACATTCTGATTTCTTAATCTACTGAAGTCCTTCTCATCCAACTAAGGGAAGCAATACCAGTCTTCTTTTCCTCCAGATTCCCCTAATTTTTCCAGGTGATTCTCTTAGAGGACCCTTTCCCTGCATCACTTGCCTTTGGGGAGGGTAAATCCTCCTCTTCCTTCCTAAGGAGAAAGGAGGGAGAATGCTCCTCACAAATCCTAGACATGAAGGCCAGTGACTCCTGACCCTCCTTTCCCCGCTCTATAAAGACACTGTGACATCAGGATGAGGAGGGTGGTGGTTCCCAGTAGGGCTGGCTTCCCTCATCATTTAACCTTTAGGGTGGGTGTCCGGATCCTGTTACTGGTGGCTCATTGGTGGTGCTCTTTAGAATTTGATGGTACTTAACACTTACAGCCGAGAATTGCAGTTCTAGGACAAGAGGGAAAAGTTGCACTAAAAAACTGCGTAATACCCTATTGTATGGTTATATGCAAATGAACTTCACCAAATTCCCCATTGCTGGGCATTGAGTTCTTTTAAAGTTTGTTATTATGTTATGAGTGTTACAGTAAATATCCTTATACTCATCAACCATTATTATTTTTATAGGTAAAATACCCATGAGTGGAATGGCTAGTGATGTGAAATGCATGTTTATAATGCTTTTATTGCTATTATCTAGTTGCCCTGAGAGCTTGTACACCCCTCCCAGCAGTGGGAAGAGGGATCTTCTCTGTATTTATGTTTGCTCTGAGTGTTTTATCTTTTCCCATATCTCTGCCATTTTGGAGGAAAGAATGGCATCTTTTCCTTCACATTTGTTGTTACTAGTAAGAAATGAACAATTTTACATATGCTTCTTGCCCATTGAGTTGCATTTTTTATGCAGTTTGCCTGTTTGGATCCTTTGACAGTTTTTCTCTTGGGGTATTCAATTTTTTTAATCTGTCAGAGTTTTTTAATACATTAACAATATTAATCATATGCCATACATGTTGCCACTTTGTTCCTGGTTTAATATGCTATATATTTTATTTATAATATTTTCTGTGATACAGAAAACTTAAATTATTGTATATTGAGATAGATTAAGTGACTTAATTCTCTGAATCTGTTTTCTGTAAAAATGGGATAACATATTATCTGGCGAGGTAGGAGTAGTATAAGTAAATTAACTGCTACTTAATACTTGCTCAACAAATGTTAGCTCTTTAGTTGTTCCCCGTGTGATACATTAAAATAGTTAAGAATCATCTAAAATTTTCACTAGAATTACAAACTTACTCAAAGATGTTTAAAGCAGATATGAACCTGGATAATGAACTTAATCTTTTAAGCTAATCTAGGTAGGTAAGTTTTAATTTTTCTTTTTACTTTTCTCATTCTCATCCATAAAAAAAAATCAATGAACTTTGATGAATCCTCTTTAGTAGAGAAATGTGAAATCTGAGTGGAGTGTGGGAACACTAGTGTTACCTTGTAAGTCATTTGTTAAGAGATTTTGAATACACTGTTCCTGGAATCCTGGTCAGGATCCCTTTCATGGTATCCTTATTTTTTTTTTATATCAGTATAGACACATCTAATGAAACCAAAATACACACTAGCCCCCTTTGCTCATAAGACAATAGAAAGATAAGATTCCTGTCCCCAGAAGGTCAATAGAGCTTACTTCCTGAGGTAAATTGCAAGTTGACATAGATGAGTCTGTTTGTTTGTATGTTACATAAAATACTTTTACAAAGATTTATTTTAAGGCAACTTAACACCAATAAAATTTTTTATTTTATGTGTTGTAACTTCTGAGTAACATTTTGTGATAATGTAATAGAATTCTTATAAAGATACTGTTATAATAATTACTTGGACTATAACAATTCCAAACCCTTCATAATGACTGTGTGCTTTGTTGCAATCTAAAAGCATTTGCTGTAGAACAGTTGAAGAATTAAGTGTTTGTATGTTAAATGCCTGCCCCTGATAATTATCTCTAGGGAGATATTTGTTTTAGTTTTAGCTGAATCTGAAAAAATAATTTACCATATTAATTTTCAATAAGATTTTATTAAGATGGACATCCAGAATTGAGTTTGATTTGCTTCTGCACCTAGATAAGAGTGATTTGTGTGTCAAAATTAAGCATATTGGCAGATCATTCTAAGTTTGTATGTAGATAAAGTTGAAGAAAACTTGTTTTCACTTGAAGTTTTTTTTAAACATTTATTTCTTCTGCCAGTTATTTTATTTTATTGACTGTTAATTTATCAACTTCTCTTGAAAAAAAAGTGAGAGGGGAGAAAAGGCCATAGTATTATCACATTTGTATATGTGGGTTCCATAAACCATATGGTGATTTTTAATTAGAATTCAAAAGAATCTTTGATGAAAATAACTGCACAGTAGCTGCAACGGTGGGTATCACAGATGGAGAGAGTTTTCTCAAACTTTCAACCAGGACACTCTTGAGAGAAACTCTGTGGTTTATAATTGTCCTTCTACTCAAAGTCTGATGAAATTGTTGATGTGTAGATCTAGTTGGTATTTCGAAGCTCGTGATTTAATTCTGGATGCTTGATCTTCTCAGTCAGTGGCTTGACTTGATTTTTTTTAAAAAGCAGCTTCAATATTTAATTTCACATGTAGCCTCTCAGTACAGATTTCAAAGGACACTTTGCTGGATGCTTGACTGCCTTGTCTATTTGCTCTTGTTTTGCATGCAAGAGAGAGCCAGAAGCCTTTCTTCTCATTGTGTACACATAGTATTAATGGATTTACTCTGACTGTATCGTCTCATTACTGGAAACAGCCAGAAGCACAGAAGTCTTTCTGTGTATGCAAATAAGGCAAAATCATCTACCTGAGAGTTAATATTCTCTGCTTTTAAGTGTATTCTAAATCTAATGTTTGTATTTAGAGCATAACATCCTGTTCTCTTTTTTTATGGGCAAAAAGCTAAGCAGGCTCCAGCAGCTGTTTGATGTTGGCTTCAAGTGTTATTAATTTCATATTCTATTATTCTTTTCACTGTAGCACAAGTGAAGCTGATGTGGAGGCTGTCATGGATAAGTTGTTTGATGAGCTGGCTCAGAAACAAAATGATTGTACGTAAGTTAATTTCTCTTGAAAGAGAATACATTTAGAACACAATGCCCAATCTCCACTGACCAATTAATAAGTTCCATTGCTGTATATGGGTTGATGCCACGCTCAAGTGGCAGTCATTGTATCAGCATTTTGTCTAATTTATGTGTTGAATCATGTGCTATTATTCATCAAGCTATGCATTTCCTATCTGTAAGAGATGAATTTTATAGTAATTATCCAGACAAGATTGAGTCTTTGTTCATGTTCCCATAGTAACTAGACCGAGGATTCTAAAAGTGCAAGGCAGAGAGCTGTGGCTGAATAAAGCCTGTGGAACTGTGGCCGACTGCACGTTCGAAGAACTGTGTGAGAGAGTAAGTACCCAGACACGTCGGACTCACTGGCCTTTCCACGGGTTAAAACACTTAATGTTGTCCTCTCTGCTTGTTTCAGATTTTAAAATACTATTCACAGAGTTGGGACTGATTTAAAAGTCTCATTAAGGGAAATACTTATCTGTATATGCCATGTGCTTTTTATAGGTACTGGCACAAAATTTGCACTTGGACTCTAAAACAAAAATTAGAAATATAGAGAGAACTGTCAACTGTTGCTGGAAACAAAACTAAAATCAGTACTAGGAATATTTTATAAAAATGAAACATAGATAATAATTAGTCTTTTTAAATTGAGGTGAGGTTAGTATGTGGGGGAGGAAGTTGAAGTAATAGCACCATGATCCAAGGAAGTATGACAAAAGCACTTCTGTTCCCCATTCTTACTACCCGTCTATTATCACCATGTTATCTGGCCTGTTTGTGCCAACGTCAAAGAAAATGGACATTTATAACTGCGATCTCTGTGTTAAATAATGATATATTCAACAGAGAAAAATGTACATATACACACATTCATACAACTGAGAAAGACCTTGATTGCACATTCATTATAGATATGAGTTCTGTTCAATATATTTATTGACTGTAAATCTTGAGAAAAGCAAATCCAAATTGCACACACCTTTAAGCATAATTACTCAATTGCTTTGTATAAATTTTCATTCCAGCTGATCTCTGATTTGCCTTGACTTTTAGGTAACTAAAAGACGGTTGTTTTTCAGTAAGGGAAGGAGAAGTCTTCGTTTATACCTGCCGTCCATTTCATGACTGCTTCTCGTAAAGCTAGCCAGTGACTTCATTACTTCTAACCAATGTACATTTGTCATTTTTAAACAAATGAGATGAATTCAATTTACAATTGTTATTATAGAAATAAAGTACTTCAAAACCAATAAAGTTTAGGATCATCTGACAGGGTGATAATGTCAGTCTCTGTTAGTGAAAGTCATTCTAGCTGATACAAACCCTTCATACTTCTCCTGGATCAGTCTTTTTTTTTTTTTTTAAGAAAAAGATTTTATTTATTTATTTTTAAAGAGAGGGGAAGGGAAGAAGAATGAGGGAGAGAAACATCAGTGTGTGGTTGACTCTTGTACACCCCCTACTGGGGACCTGGCCCACACCCCAGGTATGTGCCCTGACTGGGAATTGAACCAGTGACACTTTGGTTTGCAGGCCGGCGCTCAATCCACTGAGCCACACCAGCTAGGTCTATTGGATCAATCTTATCAAGGTCATAATAACCCAATATCTCCAGACAATTTTATTAAGGCTTGCATTTAAGTTTTACGTACTTTGCAAGATAAATAAACTTGAGAAAAATATTGTGTGCCCAAAGGATAAAGCTCCTCCTCCTTCCACAGAGGGGTCCTGGTGAAGACGTGGGCAGGACAGACCCATTGCATCTTGGAGTAGTTAGGTAAAGACAGTTTCTTGGAGCACGTACTGAGTGGATGAAAAATACAGTGTTTATCTGTGTTTTTAATGGGCTCATGACTTCGGGAGACTTAGTACCAGGAAAAGGTTGCTCAGCAGGGACCAAAATCTTCAGTCTGGGGTTTGGAGGCAGTGGGGAAGAAGATTAATTGGGACTTTATTTTGAAAAATAAAAGTAACACATAAAAGTAATTTTTATCTTACTTGATAAAAATGTAGATTATAATAGCACTATGAAATAAATTCCTTAGAATAGCAGTGAACAAATTACTACTTATTTATTTTAAATTTTTTTATTTATTGATTATTTTTAAAGAGAAAAAGAGAGAAACATCAGTTTGTTGTTCCACTTATTTGTGCATTCATTGTTTGCTTCTTATAAGTTTCCTCCTGTGGACTGAACCCACAATCTTGATTATCAGGAGAGCACTCTAACCAACTGACCTACCCAACCAGGGCCAAATTACTATTTATTTTTGGCATAACTTTCTTGACAAAGTTTTAAGTTGATAAATTAGTATATCTTGCACTTCATGATTTGGTTGTTCAATTAAATAGAAAATCATTTTTACAAAAACCTTTAAGGATTTCCTGAGTTTTTTCAAAATCTTTTAATTTGTGAATATTTCAATTAGTTTCGTTTAAAGTTTTGTTGATTTTTTGCTCAAGTTGGCAGGATCTTCATTGGTCAGTGACTTTGCATGGGTAGGTTTGCTTTTCATCTGCATTGTAATTGTGTGACGTTCACTACATCAGACAAGCGCGGAATGGCTGCCAAAAGATGCCGACCTGATGGCTGGGCTTCGGTACTAGGCTGTGAGAGATGTTTGAGGACAGGCTACTTTTAAGGGTCAGTTCATTTGCGACTGTTTTCTTGTTATGATAATTTTGTATTTCTTTGCAACTTTAAACTGTGGCAATGCAGATATTGAATACTTACATGAAGAAGACTCTTAAAATCATTCAGCTTCAGATGTAACCTAACCTCTTAATTAGTTCTAATGATTTTAAGAACTGTGCTAAGTAGTTGCCAAAAAACGTTCAGTAAAGAAAACAACAAAACAAAACAAAACGTATTTAACCCAAGGTAAAGAAGCTGTGTCTATGAGACAGTCCCAGCTTTGGGTCATGTGTTCTAGCTCTGGGAGGCTCCTGGAGCCCCAGGCTCATCCAACCCCAACTTCTGACACCAGCGTGAAAAAAAGCTTTGGATGGGTTAATAGTCTGTCATGATTATTTTTTCACCAGGGCCCCTCCCAAGGAAAATAATATGTATATAGACTTATACATTAGGTGGAAACTAATCTGTATCTTGATAGGGAAGAGAAGGTTTTGAGCATAAACCCTTGATGAATGCTATGAGTGCACTAAAAAGGCCCAGACCATTCCTTCCCTCGCACACCTCTGTCCCCTGCCTGCTTCAAGCGTGTCACCTCAGATGGGGAGCCCTGCAGGTTAGCATGCAGCCCATTGGTGTCACTGGGCTTCTCTTTCTTTGCAAATTTGCAGTTTCACACTATTGGGCTCAGAGAAGCAGTCCCAGTCAGGAGATGTTATTATCCCGTACCCATGGGATAATAACAGCAGCAAACATTGCCACTTCCAGCCGTCATTCTAAGCACTTTTTACTAAATTAACTCATTTTATACTTAAAATAGGTAAATACTATTATTGTCCCCATTTCATGGGTGGGCAAATTGAGGCACAGAGATGGATCTTCAGTTACTTTTCCAAGATCACACAGCTAGTGAGTGGCAGAGCCAAGGTTTTGAACTTCTTGGTAGTCTGGGGAATAAGACTGCTTTTACTCACTACATTGTATTTGAAAATGTGTTCTGGACAAGTTACAGCAAGTTACATTAATTATATCGTTACATTAATATAATTCTGATTCTACCATGAAATACAATCAGATACATTGTGAATTTGCACATTTGAATAAGCTTTGATCCTTTCATAGAGCATGAAGCTGGGTATGGGATAGAGATTCAGTCTGAGAGCCCCAGGTATACTGAGAACCTTAGTACAGAACTGTCCAGCTCCTGTGCCTTGGCAAACCCATGGGCATGAGCACGGGCACAGCTACTGACCCCTCTGACCTCCTGAAGGCTGTATAGGGCCTCTGCCTCCAGGCTGGGAACCTTAAGCCTTAGGCAGCCTCATTCCTTTACTTTTTAATAAAAATGTTATCATGTTCGCTCCCTGCCACAATGTGAAGAAGGTTGGGAAGCCCTGTTTTAAACTGTGGACAGGTAAGGGAAAGTAAGTCTGGGTGGTCCCAGTTCACTGTCACTCTTTCTGTATGAGAGTGGTCGTAAAAGGGAAGTGAAGCAGATTCATCTCTGTGGATACTATGTGAGCTTTTAGGTTTCCATGCCGTAACTCGATGCAGTTACTTGGCACAGCCGGAGGGTAGTGGAGAAGTCAGAAATATGGTTGTTTAAGTAAGTGGTTCTCAAGAGTCCTTAAGGTCAAAATTCTCTGTCATAATACTAGGTCACTTTTGCCTTTTTCACTATGGTGACGTTTGCAATAATGGTACAAAAGGAATGGTGGGTTAAATTGCTGGAGCCTTAGCAGAATTAAGGCAGCAGCACTAAGCCATACTGTATTCTTCATTGCCCATGTAATCGTTTAAAAAAAAAAACAAACCTGGTTTCCTTTAACAGTGTCATTGAAGAAGCAGTAAAAATGATTAACTTTGTTAAATAGCTTAAACCCTTGAGAACATGACTTCTTAATATTCTTCGTGAGGGAAGTACACATAAAGCACTTCTGCTGTATATCAAGCACAGTGGTAGTCCTGCGGAAAGGCACCTGTGCAATTGTTTGAGTTGCTAGCTGAACTAGCCACTTTTTTAATTCAATGCCATTTTTACCTGAAAGAGGGAAGGACAAACTATGGCTATTCAGGCTTGGCAGATATTTCCTCACCATATTTGACAGACATTTTCTTGCAAATGAATGAAGTCAGACTATTCCTTTAAGAACAACAACTAAGAGTAGTTATTGCCAGTGATAACATTTGAGCAAACAAGTGAAAATTAGAATTTGGAACACTTGTTGCCACCACCATGAACTTGACAGCTTCCCAATTTTTGTGCATTTTTTTCTTATAAGATTGATGGTGATATTAACAAATGCAACATGTTGACATTGTAATATTAAACATGTCATCATTTGGAAGATCTACATAACTCATTGAGCCAATATTTTCTAACAACCATTGCAAAATCACACGTGACAAAACATACATTTAAAGTGCAAGAAAGTATAATAGAGTTTTAATATAACAGAATTTTTAAAATACACTGATATTATTGTAGATTCTACTTTGCAACTTAACATTTTAAAACAATTTTTGTCAAGTTTTAAGCAATTTTAAAATAGACTCTATTTTTTAGAACAGTTTTAGTTTTATAGGAAAATTGAAGAAAACAGTGTAGAGAATTTACATATCCTCCCAAATTCAGCTTCTTATTAATGACATCTTATGTTAGTGTGGTGCACTTGTTACAATTAATGAACCAATATTGATA